GGACAACCTTGTCATTGATAAGCCTTGGTCTCAGGGTGGTCAGGGGCCCTGAGGCTTGCCCGGTGGAGGCTCCACAGGAGCCCCACCCAGTGTGGCTGTGGAGGGTCTCAGAGCAGAACCGGCAGGCGGGGCTGCTGGCAGAGCTACCTCCAGGGGCCTGTGTGCCAGGCCTGTGTCTGTAGGCTGGTTTCATCTGATTGAACTCTCAGGACTACTCTGTGAAGAGGACTGCTAGTTTCATTTTAATAACAGCCCTGGCCGGTTTGGCTCAGTGGCTAGAGCGTCAGCCTACGGACCAAAGGGTCCCAGGTTCGATTCCGGTGAAGAGCTCAGACCTTGGTTGCAGGCTCCTCCCCAGCCCAGGCCTTGGTCGGGGCGCCTGCAGGAGGCAACCAATCAATGTGCTTCTCTCACATTGATATTTCTCTGTCTTTCCCTCTCTCTTCCACTCTCCCTAAAAATCAATGGAAAAATATCCTCCTGTGAGGATTAAAAAAAAAAAAAAAAGAAACACCATTGATGATCTCAGTAACCTGCAAAAAAAACAATAAAGGCAACATGGATCAAGTGTTCACTACCTACTGGCCCTGTGCCATTGTTATCTGCATCGTACAGATCTGAAACCATTATTGCCTGCAGTTTATAGATCTGGTAGGTGTGGTTAAGAGCCGTTAAAGATTTCTAACCTTGGCACATGGTAGAGCCCTGGCTCTGTGTCTGGGCCCAGCATCTCTCACTCGGCCTCATCCAGCTCCCTGAGGTGGGCACCACTGCAACCCCCACTTTCCAGATGAAGCAACAGGGCTCAGCGAGGTGAGGAGGCTCACCAAGCAGCGGAAGCCTTCCAGCTTGGCTGGGGCAGGGACTGGCTAGGGCTGGGGATGGGAACCCTGGGCTTGGCTATGAGGGGTGAGCGTAGACCTAGGTTCATGTCCTGATAGACACTAGATAAGCCACTTAGCCTCGCCAAGCCTTAGTTTTCCTCTTCTGTTGAATGGGTATCACAAGAAGGTGCCTCCCTCCCTCCCTGTGCTGCCTGAAGCCCCGGCGAGAATGCAAGGCTGCAGTAGCATTGCCTGGGGCCGCACGCCAGGCTGGGCCATGCCTTCCTAGTCCGCTGGACAGAGCCTTGTGCCCAGCAGCCAGGGTTTGGAGACAGTAGCTCCTACACGGTTATCTGGGCCCTCTCACTTTGAGGCTACACCCCTAGGGAGATGAGGTGACTTGCCCAGGTCACATGGTGTGGGTCCTTTTGGGGGAGAAAACTGAGGGAAGCCCCCAGGGTTGGTGAGTGTTGCACTTCACAGGGCTCCTCACCAGCCCCAGGTCCTCCCTTTGAAGTAAGAGCCAGCTCAAGGCCACAGCTCTGTTAACCAGATGACCAGGTCACCTCACTGGGCACAGGGCAGCGAGTGGGGCAGCGTCCAGGGGGTGGCTTGGGGGTGGAGTCTGGTGCCCAGTGAATGATTAAGTCACTTCCCCTCTTAGGCCGTTGTCGCCTCCTCTGAGAAATGGGTCCTGGAACAGAACCTTCCTTGCAGGGGGTGTGAGGATCCAAGAAGACAGGTGCATGTGAAGGGCCTCTGCACCATGCTGGTGTCTACAATGCACTCACATGAACTCTTATTTAAGAAAATCCAAGTTACAAATGAAAAAAATTAGCCAGGGATCCCCCAGCTTGATCAGAGGGGCTAAGTCAGTAGTTATGGGAATCAAAGGAGCTGGGACAGAGCTGCACCCTGCTGGCTGGTCCCCTCGCAGGTGGCTTCTCAGGTCCTGTTTCCTCGCCTGTAAAATGGGCTCAGCGCAGCGCCTGGCCAGGAGGGGGCTCAAGAAATCTTACCCCCAGGGAGCAGGTGCCACAGACAATGGTCACAGAGGGTGAGATAACAAATTGAATAAAACAAGCATTTTCCCTCTGAAAAGCAGTAAGATGGCTGCTCTCCGGTTCCAGCAGCGAAGGCTTTCCCCAGCTCAGAGGGGAGGAGGCAGGCCTGAGCCAGCCTTTCTGTGGCCTGGCTATCGCACGCCCCGCACCACACGCCTGGCGCCCTCCTGTGGCCATGAGTAGGGACCCAGGAGCTTCCGGGAAGCCACACCAGGTTCCGGGGCAGTTTGGGGCCCTCGCTGGGTCTCAGTGTCCTGACCTGTTGGACCAGAAAGTCAGACAAGAGGTGCGCCGAGGTGCAGCCACCCAGAGTGGTAGGAATCGTCCGTTCTTTTTCCTAATTATGCCTGCTCCAGGGGAAATTTTATAAAATCCACAGAAGCAAAAGGAGGCAAAAGTCACCTCTAGCCTGGCCACCTGGAGCTAATCACTGTTCCCACTTAGGGAATAACTTCCAGGCTATTTCTAAATTATTATTTTAGCAAAAATGGGATCCCACTCTCCATACTGTCTCACCAACGGGTTTGACCCCTTAATAGTCTCATATCACAGTTCACACCTCTGACTTTTCAAATGAAAAGCAATGATACAAAGGAGGTGAGCAGACTATGAAGGAAATACAAAAGGTTTTTAAAAATAAGGTAAGGTGCCCAGCCTCCTCCAAATAAAATAAATGCAGCCCTGACTGCATCGGCCTGCGGACTGAAGGGTCCCAGGTTCGATTCCGGTCAAGGGCATGTACCTTGGTTGCGGGCACATCCCCAGTAGGGGGTGTGCAGGAAGCAGCTGATCGATGTTTCTCTCTCATCTATGTTTCTAACTCTCTATCCCTCTCCCTTCCTCTCTGTAAAAAACTCAATAAGATATATTTTAAAAAATAAAATAAATGCAACTGATAACTAACCCGAGAATGCATTTTTCCACATGTGATATTGACAAGGGTCAAGGTTGGCTAACGTCTGTGTGGGTGAAGAAAGGGCTGGCTCATGCCCGCGGGGGTGGGAGGACAGTGTGGCAATAAGTATGAAAGTATCAAATGCAAATCACCTTCAACCCAGCGGTTGCTTGTCTTGGAATTTATGCATCAGATACCCTGGCACATGAAGAAATGAGGAGGATAAAATGTTCCTGATTGTAGCACTGCTTGTGATGCCAAAATCCTGGAAACCTGAATGTCCTTCCGCAGGAGGCTGGTCACATACACAGTAGTACGCCCACACCAGGCAGCTAATGGGGCGGCTCTTATGTACTGACACGGCTCAGAATCAGGTCCAGGATATAAAGGCATGTGGTAAAAGTACAACACAGACCTGCCTATATGGTCTGCTACCTGTGACTGTAAAAGAAAAATCTCTATATATTTGTATTTGTTTATAGATACATGAAATTTCTCTGGAAAGATCACAAGAAACAGAACTTTGATAGCTTTGAGGGGAGGGGAGTTAGGATGCTGGCACCTGGAGTGGGACGGGGGCAGAGAGGCTAGGAACAAGGACTCCCGGTGCCAGAGTAAAAATCTTGATTTTGTGACTTGGGCATGTCCCTTTATTCCTTTGTGCCTCAGTTTCCTCACCTGTGAAACAAAGAAGATATTACTACCACCTGTTTCATAGGATTGTGATGATTAAATGAGCAACGAGGTAGAAAGTGTTTAGAGCAGTGCCTGGCCAGAGAAGTGCTACTTAACTGTTTGCTAAGTCCTTGTCTTAGAAGAATCCTTATACGCCTATTGTTGAGTAAGAAAGTTGACAAATCGGGGGGAAAAGGAGACATATGTAAAACTTTAGACAATAAAAAAAAAGAAAGTTGACAAAAAATTATCATCTGCATTGACAAGGTCCTGTAGATATCTAGGTGTGTCTTTGATTTCACGAGCATAGAAAACTGTGGGACACACGGTTGTCAATGATTTCCGAAGGAGGAAGTGAGGGGAGGGGTAAGCAAAAGAAATTTAAAACTTATGATCATTTTTATGCAGTTACTAAATGATATACATGTGTATGTATGGAGAAAGTTTCAATTATTAAAAAGAGAAAGAAACCAAGAGAGGAAAGGACCTCTTTATCTCCCAGGTGCCGCCACCTGGCCCTGATGTGAAGCGCGGAAATCCAGCCAGCTAACTAAGGCGTCTTCCCAACACCTCATTTGTTTATTTCAAAATCAATCTCTGATAAACAGTTACCCCCATGCCTGCAGGAAAGGGAGAGAGGTCCTGAAATTCCATCCGTTTTCTGAAGGATTGCCTTTCATCTGTGGGAACTTCTCTACAGGGATGTTTGCAGCCACCCCTATCCCGCTTCCTAGACCTCAGCTGTCAAAAAGGGACTCTCCATACTACTGTTTCTGTGGAGGAGAAAGGCGCTCCCCCACACAGCGACTCTTCAAGTGCAAATCTAACCTTGTCATCTCTTTCAAAACCATTTTTTTGTCATCCAAATTTCTTACCAGGCCACACGGTGCTGCTGGATGTAGCATGCTGGCACTATGGGGCTCAACCAGGTGGAAGTGCAGTTCCTGGGTGCCTTTCACACATCGTTCCCTCCGTTTGCCAGAAACCGGTCTCCCACCGCTACCCCTCGCTGACTCCCCTTACCCCCGGCCTCCCCCAGGAGGCTGCTTCCTTCCAGAAAGACTTCCCAGGCTGCCCAGGGTGGGCTGGGGACGCCAGTAGCGCAGGTGCCTGGTTTTTGCTCTGTTGCCCACAATCGGGCTGTCAGATTCGCGAGGGCAGGGACCGCACCCCCGCTGCCTGTGGTCTCCGTGTTGATTTGGGACGTTGGGGGCCGCGGTGCAGTGACTGCTATCCGGTCACTTCACCCGGCTCGGAGCTGGTTCGGAGCTGGTTCTGGCCTGGAGCGGAGGCTGAGGGCTGCTGACAGCGAATGGCTCTTCTGAGGGATGTGGCCTCGGGAGGAGGATGACAAAAGCGGTGCAAGTTTACCAGGGGAGAGGCCGCCCAGGGGTACTTGCCCCTCATAAACATGGGCGCCCCGGGCTCGGAGACGGCCCCTCACAAGGATGGCATCCGCGGGCTCTCATTGGTCCCGGTGGGCTCCTTGGGCGGCGCTGATTGGTGGAGGGCGGGGCGGGGCGGGGCGAGGAGCGCCGGGGTGGGGCGGGGCGTCTCCGACCCGGGCACCGCGTGAGGCTCCCCGCCCCGGGACTATGTCGCGGGCGCGTAGCCACCGGCGCGCGAGTCTCTTCCTGGCAGCGGTTTTCCCGCGCGGGGTAACGACCAGGGTCACGGGCAGGCGGGAGCTGAGCGCGCGGCCCGCGCCGCAGGAGCCGGGCATGGAATACCAGGTACCCCGCGGGCGGCGGCGGCCGGCGGGCCGAGATGACACGTGGGCTGGGCCCGGGCTACGCCGCCTCCGGCCGCCCGCCGGGGAGGGCACCCAGGAACTGAGACTGCGGAGCTGGGGGCGGGGACCGCCTGGAGTCGGGGAGTGGGGACCGGGACCGGGCAGGGGGCCTGCACCGCCGAACCTGGAGATTCCGAGGCGGAAGTGCCCCACGGTGGAGTGGGAAGGGGCGCCCGGTGATAGGACCTAGAGGTCCGGTGGCTCAGCTGGGCCCGGGGGTTCCAGAATCTCCGGAGTTAGGAGTCGGGGGCAGTGGGGCGGGGTGGGGCGAGAATCTGGAAAACAGGAACCTTCCCCTGGCTTTATGCCAAGGGCCGGTTGCCGGAGACCAGAGCCTGATGCCAGCCAGACAGGTGGCACCAGTTTGATGGGGCGGGGCCTCCAACCAACCATCAGGGTCCTGGGGTCCGGAGGGAAAATAAATAGCACCCCCACTCTTACCTCCAATGTGGGCCCTCCTGAGGCTGACCTACCTGCCTTCCTGGCTGGGCGACCCTGGGCACACCCTTGCTCCCTCCCAACTTCCTCCTCTTCTCCCCCTGGTGGCTTCAAGCAGCTCTACTCTTCTTCTTCTTTTTTGTTTTGTTTTTTGAGAGGCGGGGAGCAGCACAGGAATGCCAATTTATTCTGTTTGCACACATGAACACAAAATATCCCTGCAGGCCAACCTCCCCCCCCCCCCAAATTTAAACAACCATCACCTTATCTCAACGTGGGGACACCACCCCTCCATTAATAGTTGAGAAACCACCTCATATTCAGGCAGCTTTACTTTTGATCAGAATATGGAACCCCAATCATCAGGGTTAGGCATGGAAGGAAGACTTTAGGAATTCCTATGCTAATTCCTCCAGTTCTAGACCTCCAGTTCTAGAGCCTTCTGTGGTTCTAGTCCCACCCCAGAAGGGGCCCAATACAGTGGTGGACCCCATTGGAGGGAATGAGAGCAAAGGCCCCAGCGGTGCAGCCTGGGGAACTGAAACCGAAAGCAAGGCTAATCCCGTTAGCCTGCCACTCCCTGGGTGGGGCTGAGCTGCCTTCCACCCCCATTGGCACCAGAGCTGGAATGATGCCACTTCTCTCTCACCGGTGTCTAACTTCAAAGCTGGGCGACAGGGCTGGTCCGGCAGGCGGGTGCCCTGGCCTGGCCATTGGTACACTGGGTGCCCCTGTCCCTGTGGACCCCAAGTGATCCTTAACCTGCCACGGGGACTGTTGTTGCCAGGATGCTGTGCGCACACTCAACAGCCTGCAGACCAATGCCAGCTACCTGGAGGAGGTGAAGCGCCGGCGGGGTGACCTCCAGACACAGCTGGAAACCATGAAGCTGTACTTGGCACGGAGTGGGCTGCAGGTAACGTGGGCAGGGCCTGTGACCACCCCCCCTTTTTCTTTGTCTGTGAGTCCTGTTGCCAAGTTGAGGACCTTGTCTTTCTGTTCCAGGTGGAGGACTTGGACCAGCTGAACATCATCCACGTTACTGGGACGAAGGGGAAGGTGAAGGACAGGATCCAGGGGGGGGGAGAGCGTATCCACTGGGTGGGGTGGGGACTGCCCAGACAAGAACTTTTCTTTCTAGGGCTCCACCTGTGCCTTCACTGAACGGATCCTCCGGAACTATGGCCTGAAGACGGGATTCTTTAGGTACTGAGGTGTGGAGGGATGTATCTGTCTCCCAGCTCTCTGGGGGGCTGTAGAACCAGCCAGCACCTCAAATAAGTTTTTGGATAAAAACCCAGCCTTCGACCAGAGCCTATGTAACCTTGTGGGCCAACCCAGGGATGTAGGGGCTGGGGCACAGGGAACTATCGAGGGACTCGGGAGAGGTGAGACACAGGCCAGTAACATCAGCCTCACCTGGGCCTGGGAAGCTGAGCTGAAGGGCTGGGACTGTCTTGAGGGCAGGGGGAAGCCACAGGAGGGTTTTCAGCAGGTCAGTGACACGATCAGATGTGTGTTTCTGACAGGTCTGGCGGGGGTCGGGGGGAGGCCTGGGGGGCTCCAGCAGGGAGCCCTGATGACCTCAGATCTCCCGGCAGCTCTCCCCACCTGGTGCAGGTGCGCGAGCGGATCCGCATCAATGGGCAGCCCATCAGCCCCGAGCACTTCACCAAGCACTTCTGGCGCCTCTACCATCGGCTGGAGGAGACCAAGGTGTCCATACAGCAGGGCTGGTGGGGGAACAGAAGCGGGCACTGGAGCAGGGGGAGGGACCCAGAAGGCACTGCACTCTCAGGACCCCACCTCCCCAGAGCAGAGGCTGCATGGACCTCAGGCTCTGGCCTGTTCCTATCCACAGGACAGCAGCAGCTGTGTCTCCATGCCTGCATACTTCCGCTTCCTCACGCTCATGGCCTTCCATGTCTTCCTGCAAGAGAAGGTCTGTGCCCACTCCCTAGAGCCCTGTGTCTAAGGCCTTGGGGAGGGGAATCTTAAGCAGGCTGGGGGCTCCCACGTGACCTCCAGGTGCCCTGTACCCCATGCCGTGCCCTCTGACCCTCTGCAGGTGGACCTGGCAGTGGTGGAAGTGGGTATCGGTGGGGCTTATGACTGCACCAACATAATCAGGTGAGGGCGGCTGCTTGTGGGGAGGGATGATGGTCTCTAGCCCAGGGTGGCCCAGGGCAGGGGCATCATGGCCCTTTGGTCTTCTGCAGGAAGCCTGTGGTATGTGGGGTCTCCTCTCTTGGCATCGACCACACTAGCCTTCTGGGGGACACGATGGAGAAGATCGCCTGGCAGAAAGGGGGCATCTTCAAGGTGATTGGGCAGCCCCAGGGAGGGGGGGTACAGGGGCCTGGCCCTTAGACCTCAGGGAAGTGGGGCTGGGGCAGGGTCCTTGCTGTCCTGACTCAGGAGAGGACTTGGGCATCAGTGGGGTCTGGGTTCTTGTCTCAGCTCTGCATGCGGCTGGAGCAAGTTGAGCCTCATCTCCAATCTTAGTCTCCCCATCAAGTGGTTCCCATCGGTACTATGGGGGAGGCTAAATGGGCCGCTCCGACCCAGGGATGCGGGGGCCAGAGATGAAGGTGGAGGACCCTCCGCAGCCCTGTCTCCTCTCCGTCCTCCACAGCATGGCGTCCCTGCCTTCACCGTGCCCCAGCCTGATGGGCCCCTGGCCGTGCTGAGGGAGCGTGCTGAGCAGATCTCAGTGAGTGGCTGGAAGTGCTGGGGAGCCGCTTCATCCTTTTGGGCCGCTGCTCACCCAGCGGAGCACTCTGGGTTCTAGGAGCAGGGCTGGGTTCTTGCTGGTGGGGAAAGATGGAGGAGCTGACGACATCAGGAAGGGCCTCCTATCCAGAGAGGCAGCAGCAGCTCCTCTGACTCCTCTGCAGTGTCCCCTCTACCTGTGTCCACCGCTGGAAGCCCTGGAGGAAGGGGGGCCACCGTTGACCCTGGGCCTGGAGGGAGAGCACCAGCGGTCCAATGCCGCGTTGGCCTTGCAGCTGGCCCGCTGCTGGCTGCAGCGAAAGGACCACCAAGGTAAGTGGGCAGGGACACGTGGAGCCTGCGTCTGAGGACTGGTGGGCAGGGACCCGGGGAGCCTGCGTCTGAGGGCTGGTGGGCAGGGACCCGTGGAGCCTGCCTCTGAGGGCTGGTGGGCAGGGACCCGTGGAGCCTGCGTCTGAGGACTGGTGGGCAGGGACCCGGGGAGCCTGCGTCTGAGGACTGGTGGGCAGGGACCCGGGGAGCCTGCCTCTGAGGGCTGGTGGGCAGGGACCCGGGGAGCCTGCGTCTGAGGACTGGTGGGCAGGGACCCGGGGAGCCTGCCTCTGAGGGCTGGTGGGCAGGGACCTGGGGAGCCTGCCTCGGAGGCTGGTGGGCAGGGACCTGGGGAGCCTGCCTCGGAGGCTCCGAGAACACTCGGTCCCACACCGCCCTCCCTTGCCCCCAGGCATTGGGGAGCTGAAAGCGTCCAGGCCCAGCCTCCTGTGTCAGCTGCCTCTGGCACCCGTGTTCCAGCCCACATCCCACATGCGGCATGGTGAGTTAGACCCTCCTGCCCAGCCGGGTCCCTTCAGATGTTTCTCACTTTGCTCTTCGAGAGGTGGGGTCACTCGATAATGGTGCCCAAGAGAAAGGGCTCTGAGGTCAGTAAGCTTCCTTGACCTTGAGTTCACGAACTCTCTATGAGCCTCGGTTTCCCCACCTGCCAGATGAGATGAGTGTAGGACCCACTGTGAGGTGACATCACCAAGGGACTGAGCCCAGAGCCTTCGAGTATGAGATACAGTGCCCAGCCAGTGGTAGCTGCTGTTACTGTCATCCTTGTCATCATCATCACAAGACCATGAGATTCTTAAGAACGGTGATGTTTGTCAGGCTTCCCCCAAAGCTTTCAGCACATAGTAGGTGCTCATGGCTGTTAAACCCCTTCAGCAAATGGTTCCAGTGCTCCCACTGTGTGCCAGGCCCCATGTCGGGCCATGAAACAGCTCTGGGGCCAGGTAGATCTTGAATCACATCCCAGTCCCAAGACTCATGCTGTGACCTAATCTCTCTGCGCTAAGGGCTAATATGTGACAGTAGCCCCCCTGAGGGCTGCCTAGAAGAGGCAGAAGAATTGCTGATCCCTCTGGCACCGCTCCTTGGAGCGCTCAGACGGGTGGGGTGCGTGCTGTGGGGCGGGTGGTGTGCGAGTTGAAGAAGATGGGAGAGTCTGAAGAGCGGCCTTGCCCCGTCCCCCAGGGCTTCGGGACACGGAGTGGCTTGGCCGGACGCAGATACTGTGCCGCGGGCCCCTCACCTGGTACCTGGATGGCGCACACACCTGCAGCAGCGTGCAGGCCTGTGTGCGCTGGTTCCGCCAGGCGCTGCACCGCCGCAAGAGGTGAGTGCCGGGCAGAGGGGCAGTGTCTGGGGTCCAGAGAGGCGGGGCCTCGGGGCAGGATGGGGCGGGGCCGGGCCAGTGGAGGGAGGATAGTTTCTGCGGGAAAGGTGGGGGGTGCGGCCATTCAGGTCTCCCCCTCGCCTCGCAGTGGACCTGAGGTGCCTGAGGTGCGCGTCCTGCTCTTCAACTCCACGGGTGACCGGGACCCGGCGCCCCTGCTGAAGCTGTTGCGGGTGAGAGGCTGGCGGGTGGTTGGGCGGCAGGCAGCCCGGCCCTGTTCTGACTGTGTGACCCCCACATCCGGTGGAGGCTTCATCCCTGAACCTCCTATCCTGGGGCTAATCCCTGAATTGGGAGCCTGCTTAGTAGCTCGGTGACCTTACGCTGTACCCCGCCCCCAGCTTCTGTTTCCCCCTCTGTACAATGGGCTGTACTGCCCAGGCCACAGGCCAGGCAGGGGATACTGGGGTAGCTGGGGGGACAGGGGGTGGCACTGAAGTGCTGTGGCTGGGTTTATGCAGCATCACCCCAGCGGAGGGCATCTCCAGAGATGGGTGTGTGTGGGGGGGGGACTCCCTGTGCTGTGGGGAAGACAGGGTGGGGGTGGGCATCCTCTCAGGGCTCTGACACCAAGCTTGCCCCTGGCCTTCTAGCCCTGCCAGTTTGACTATGCTGTTTTCTGCCCTAACTTGACGGAGGTGGCATCCACGGGCAACGCAGGTGAGAGGTGGCAGACGTGGTCCCTTGAGGTGGGCAGGGCGTGGAGGGCCCTGAGGGGGGCTGCTCTGCTGGTGACCGTGGGGGCTTCCAAACGGGAGATCTGGGGCAGGAGCTGGGTTTGTCTCACTGTATAAATACCCTTTGATACATTCAGCACGTGGCTGCAACACTAAAAAGGAATTATCGGGGAAAACATCTTTCAAAATGCAGGTTAAAACCTACTGATGGCCCTTGAAGTCAGTTAGTGGGTCTCAACCAGCATTTTCTACTTGAAATGAAATCGAATGGAAAATATCTGTGTATTGGCACAAAGTAAGGGCAGGTACTATTTTATGAAGACTCTGCTCCAGACATTAATATACACATATGTGAGTACTGGGTTGCCATTGTAAAATGTATTTTTTTTACTATGGGTCCCATTAAAATTTTTTTGAAATAATAATATAAAAAATACAGCTCCCCAGGCCCCACATCAGACTGCCTGGGGAGAGTCTGGAGAGCCCAGGAACCAGCATTTCTGGAAAGGCTCATGCACGCCCGGGACGGCCCCTGTCGGGTGAAGGCAGAGGCGAGGGTGGGGAGAGGGGAGATGTGCTCCCTGGGCAAAGCCCCAGCTTTGGAGCTCAACTGCCTGGCTTTGCTCGTCACCAGCTCTGAGCCACTGGGCAAGTCCCCGAACCTCAGTTTCCTCGTAGTGTCCCCTCCGAGGACTGACAGTGCATGGGAAAGGCCCTGACTTAAGCAGGTGTCCGCAGCGTGCTTGCCCTTCCCCCACCCGCCTCGCTGACGCGCCGTCCCTGTGTCCTGCAGACCAGCAGAACTTCATGGTGACCCTGGACCAGGTGTTGCTCCGCTGCTTGGAACACCAGCAGCACTGGAGCCGCCTGGATGAGGAGGCGGCCAGCCCGGACCTCTGGAGCACCCCCAGCCCCGAGGCTGGTGGGCCGGCGGCCCTGCTGCTGGCACCCCGCCTGCCCCACACCCACGGCACCAGCTCCCTCGTCTTCAGCTGCATCTCCCATGCTTTGCAGTGGATCAGCCAGGGCCGGGACCCTGACTTCCAGACACCCAGTTCCCCACGGGACCTTCTCGCCCACCCTGTGGCAAACAGCGGGGCCAGCGTGCTCCGAGAGGCTGCTGCCATCCACGTGCTGGTCACGGGAAGCCTGCACCTGGTGGGCGGCGTCCTGAAGCTGCTGGATCCCTCCCTGTCCCAGTAGCTGAGGCCGTGGGGTTGGAGGTGGGGCCTCCCACACCCACCTTGCGTCTCTCCGTGAACTCCCACAACAGGTGCCTTTTGTTTTCTGCTTTCCTGATTCTGTCTGTCAGTCTAGACTGGCCCAGGGGCCTGGGCTCGGGCAGTGAAATAGGTGGCTGGTGGGTGGGAGGTTGAGATCGGACATCCTGTCTCTGAGCTGAGCCTGTGGTGCCTTGGCCTCTCCTTCCTCCTGCTGATATCTCGGGCGGGTGGGGGGGGCGTGGGAAGGGGGACACGGTTCTCCTGGGGTAGCCGGCCCGGCTGTCCAGCCCAGCTCCCACCAGACTGCGTCCTGGCCAGGCCTGGGGTCCTGCCAGGTGTAGGTCGCTGGTTTCCCTCCCCTCAGTGGCTTTCTGGGGAAGGAGAGGGTCCCTGCCTGGGGCCCCGTGGGGACAGAGGGTGGCTGGATTAAATTAAAGTCTTTACTTTGATTGAGTTTTTGACCTCTAGCTCCCTCAGCAGACAATAGGGGGTGGGGGCTGTGGTGGCACAGAAAATGGATTGTGTAGGAGCCTGGCTGTGTGGCTGGGACAGGCCCCTCCCTTCTGAGCCTCAGTGGCCTGATGTTTGTCGACCACTGCTTTGCAGACCTCCCCACGGAGACCTTGTGACTGAGAGTTCTCGTTCCCATTTTACAGACGAGGGAACTGGCTGGCGTACAGAAGCCATGGCACCTGCCCACAGTGAGCCAATAAGTGGCAGGTTCAGGATTTGAACCCAGAGCTGCCTCCCCCCATCATTTTAGGGGCCCCTTCCCTTCTCCCAGCCTAGCACTGGTTTCATGGTCTGATTTATTGGTGATGAGTATATCGGGGTGGGCCCAGGTCAGGCAGCCTGGCCACTCCTATCTGCTGCCTTCCTGATGGGCAAGGAGGGAGGGGGTCTCCATGTGACAGTTGCAGGAAGGAGCTAGGCTCCCCCGTTCCCAGGCTGGGCACTCCTAGGCTTCAATTCCCCTGCCCCCCAAAGTTGTGCCGGTCCAAAGATGTACTGCGGGGATCAGATCCTGGTGGTTAGGGCTGGTCATGGAGGAGGCACTTTTGGCCTGAGGAGGCTGGGCAGAGTCTTTGAGTTCTCACCTCCTGCCCAGCCCAGGTCATCAAGGGCTGGATCCGTTCAGGATAACGGGGACTTGGGTGTCTACAACAATGTGGACATATAGGGCAGCGTTCTGTCTCTCTGTGGTCCTGGGCAGCCGTACCCCAGGCCCATGGAGCTTGAAGGTTCTGCAGGGTGGGGTGGGGGAACCCCAAGGTGTTCCAAGCTGGTGCCCCCGCTGGCAGCAGGCCTCTGAGAAAGAGGCAGCGGGCAGGGTCCATCCTTGGTCGAGTGGAAGGGTTGGGATCCTGGGGTGAGTTCATAATCAGTGGTTCCCAGCTGGTGGCTGCTCAGTCTCTCCGGCTGGGCAAGGGCTGGCCGGGTGGCCCCCGGGGCTCCAGGCTCGGCACTACGCCATGCTGCTGGTGGAGCAGGGGGTGCTCTGGGTGCTCCCGATGCTGTGGTTGGTGCTACTGCTCTCTGAGGAGGCCGGGGCAGCCACTGCCACCACGGGCTCCCGCTTGCTGGGGGGACCTGGGAGCAGGGGCGGAGGTCAGGGCCCCGGCCTGGGCTCCCCACTCCCCCAGAGGCTTTGCTGGGCTCCCCCGGGTGGTGGTGGAGGGGTCCTGAGCACTCACGGAGGGGGCCTGGGATACTCACGTGTGTGCGAGTAGATATACCAGAGCGCAGCGGTGAGCAGGGCCCCGATGAGGAAGGCGCCAAAGGTGATGCCCAGCACAGCGGGCAGGACGAGGGTTTTACCTGTGCAACCAAGGGAGGGACAGCTGGGTCAGCGCTGCTGCCCCCTCCCTGGCCCCCTCCCTGGCTCCCTGCTCCTGTGCTGGCCAGGAGCACAGGTTTTGGTGTGAGTCCCAGCTCACCCACTGCCCTGACTTCTCTAGCAACCTCAGTCTCCTCATCTAGCAAATGGGTTCAACACACCCATGCGTGGCACTTAGCTGTGATTGCTATGACCATTTGCCAAGAGGGCCTATCCAGGCCTTTTGGGCCATGCCCTGCCTCCCAGTGCTGATGCAGATGCATTTTAGGGAGGCTGGCTGGCATCATCTGAGCAAAAAGTGGGGTCTGGGAGTCCAGAGCCCGTCCCTCCTCGCTGTGTAACCTTGGGTCCGGCCCTGCCCCCTCTGAGCCTGATTCCCCGGTAGCGACAGGCGGACCAGCTCTGAGGCCTCTCTAGCTCTGCTCTTGAGTTTTCCAAGCCTCATTCCTTTCACACCCCTGACTCCTGTGTGATCGAGCCAGGCAGCCGCCCCTTGGGCCTGAGTTCCTCTCCATGCACTGGGGTTATCAGCCCTTGTCTCCCTGTTGTGAGCTGGGAGTGGGGCTCCATCCTGGCCTGGCCTGGCCTGGGTACCCCCCACATCTGCCTCCAGGGTCAGGGACTCTTCTGTCTGGTGGGGGCCTGGGTCCAGAGGGAACTAACAGAGGCTGGAGGGTGCTGGGCTGAAGGGCCATCCTCTGCACTGGGGGCTTTAAGGCGAGGCCAGCACCACCCCAGGGTGCCTTCTGTCCCCTGTACCGTCCAGACCTGAGTCTGAAGGCCCCATCCCCCCAATGAGGTCAACCAGCCACCATGGGGTTAGGAGTCCTGTCCCACAGGGAGGTCAGGAGCGGAGGAGGCTGTCCATCCGGAAGATGCAGCTGTGGCTCCGACTGTGGGCAGCTGGGGAGCCCTGGTCCTGCTCTCCCCCGGGGCTGCTCTCTCGGGTCCTCCCTGCTGTGAGCCGAGGCCCCCATCCCCTGGGTCGTCTGTTGTGCCCCACTCTGACCTCAGCCACGAACCCCAGAGAGACCTGGGGAGCGCTCACCAGGCATGTCAGGGCTGACGATGTTCAGGCGCATGGAGACAGTCCTGCGGACCTGGGGAAGGAAGAGAGCGGTGTGCGGCCCAGCCTCTGAGAGGCAGCCCGGGTTTACTCGCTGGCACCCGGCCCCAGTCCCAGCCCACCCTGGGCCTTGGCTTTGCATCCCATCGAGCCGGTCCTGGGAGATCTGTGCTATGGGAGTGTGTTGGGGACAATCCGGGGCTGCTACTGGGATGTTTCACACAACCAGAGGCCCTCTGTGCGAAGGGCCTGAGAGGACTGTGTCCAGGCCAGGCGCCTGAGAGGAGATCCACTGGACGGTGAAGCGACCCACTGGACGGTGAAGCGCTGTGACTAGTAAGTGCAGAAAATCAGAAGGTTGTCTCCTCTCTGAACCCTCTCCCCCAAGGCCTCCTGTTCACTGAGATTACACTGGTGATCATGCTTCGTGGGTGGGTGGGTGGGTGACTGGGATGGTGGAAGGACTATGGACGAATGACTGGGAGGGATAGTGGGTGGGCGGGTGGATGAATGGACGGTTGCGGCTACATAGCCGACCAATGTTGCAGACACAGCAAAGTCATCAGAGGCTGTGGGGTTGCAGAAAGAGTACCTGATAGCCAGGAGCCACCCTGACTGGCTCTGCCCCTCGCCACCTGGTCCCACATCCTCCTGGGCTGTGGTGTCCCTTCCTGAAACCCCCACACCCGAAAGCCACCCTTGACATTGGTCCTGGCCCAGGCCCCACTCACCAGGGATGAAGTCCCAAGACGCATGGCTACGGTGCAGCTGAGGGTGCCAGCCTTGGGCGTGGGCACCATGTGGCCACGGAGGAGGAAGCTGAAGCGCATGACACCATGGGGGCTGGCGTCCAGCAGGCTCACACAGCTGCCCTTGGCTGCCTGGTTCTGGATGAGTTCCACGGTGTCTGCCTCAGGCTTCAAGTCCAGCTGGCAGCTGTCCAGTTTGGGCATGATCTCGGGGGTCGGCGGGGACATGCTCACCTGCGTAGGGAGGCAAGGGGTCAAGGCATGAGCGGTTACTCTAACGCTTCACCCTGCCTGCTCTCATGAGATAAGCTAGATTCATTCTATAGTTCCTGCCCCTGAGCCCCGATGGTGGGACTGTCATGGGCCTGCCTGGAGGAGGCGCTGACATTCTACTCAGCGTCTCTGAGCTCTGCCTTTCCTATCTCTCCCCTCCGTCATGCTCCGTCTGGCTCCCTCCTTTCTCTGAAAAGTTGAATTCTCTTCTCTGTACTAACGGTGGGAAGAAAGGTTCTGAGAAACCCCAGGAGTGGGCAGCCCTGGGCGGTCAAGTCCAGTACCTGCACAAAGCCCTGCTGCCCCAGCTCAAGAGCGTTGGAGGCCTGCAGGTACTGCGGGGTGAGGTAGAGGCCCAGCTGGAAGGAGAGGCTCTTCATGTCGATGCACTGCACTGCTTTCTGCGGGAGACGGAGGGAGATGGTCAGGGAGGGCGGGGGTGGGGATAGGAGCAGGGGTCATGGTCCAGAGGAGATGCCTGACCCTCACCCTCATCTTTAAAAAAACACACCAGCCTGGCCGCTGGCTCAGCAGTTGAGCATCGACCTATGAACCAGGAGGTCACGGTCCGATTCCCGGTCAGGGCACATGCCCAGGTTGTGGGCTTGATCCCCAGTGTGGGACGTGCAGGAGGCAGCCGATTGATGATTCTCTCTCATCATTGATGTTTCTATCTCTCTCCCTCTCCCTTCCTCTCTGAAAACAATAAAAATATATTTAAAACAAAAAGCCCACACCAAACTACTATTAAGAATTCACTCCGCACCAGGCCTGTGTGAAATGCTTTCCCTGTGTCATCTCAGTGGCTGCCATAGGCACTCCCACAGGGGGTCCTCTCTTATGCCACGGCTCACACACGTGACCTTGGGGCCCAAGGCCACACAGCCAATATATGCTAGACCCTCTGACTCGCGTGGCTGAGAACGTAACCCTTGACAGTCCTGCTTCTGCTCTACAGAAGGGGCGGCTGAGCCCCGCTGAAGACACATGGCGAGCCAGTCAGGGCGAGTTCCCTGAGGCCTGGAGGGGCCCCGGGACCGGGACCAGATGTTCGCACGGTGACCATCCATCTCACCCGCTGCAGTGATGAGCTTGACAGGAGGCTGACGACCACCTGCAGAGACAGAGCCACGAGCTGGTCAGCCAGAAATGACGGAGGACACCCCACCCACTTCGCCGTTTTACGGAAGGGGAGGCGGAGCCAACCCTGGCTACCCGGGCCTTGTCTTCCTACCGAGCACCACGCCCCACTCTCCCCAAAGCCCCTCAGCCCAGAAGATCAAGGAGGTGCCTGAGGGGGGCACCCAGTAGGCCGCTCCCTTTCCTGCCCCAGCTCTTACCTCGTTGTTGACCACACTTTCTGTCACTTTCATGCCGCAGCTGGAGTAGGTGCTGTGCAAGACAAGCTGGTCGCCTCTGTCCTCAGCCTGGCAGCGGGGGTCCAAGAAGGTCAGGCTGCTGATGTCGCACTTCAGAGACTAGGCCAGGGTTGGGGGACACCGTCAGGAGGCACCCGGCTCCCTGGGTCCTGTCCACCCCAGCACCAAGGACGGATCCAAACCCAGGGCCACAGCCCTCTGCTTCCCTCTCTGCTTTTGTTAGATTTTGTCATCCTGCACCGTTTGAGACGATACCTTTCCTGAATTTGACTTGCTTTTGTACTTAATCTTGTCTTAAGCAATAAAATGTGCGACACCGTGAGTTTGATGTACTATGTACTGTTTTCCTTCTAATATATATTAAAGTAAATGCAGAACTATTAGGATTTTAAAATTCATGTGAGTTCGACATACAATCATGGCTCACAGCCCCAGGGGCATGCAGACCCCATCAGCATAATCCAATCTCAGAACCATGGGCCCCTGGGCCTGTCTGTGCTCAGCAAACTTTCTTTAAAGGGCCAGATAGTACGTTAAGCTTTGCAGACCAGGTGGTCTCTGTTGTAATTACCCAACTTTGCCTTCAAAGCCTGAAAGCAGCCATAGACCATATGTACACATGGGTGTGGCTGTGTGCCAAAAAAACTTTATTGACAGAAACAGGCAGTGGGCCCTAGTTTGCCAGCTCCTGTTTTAGAAGAATCAAATCTTAAAATTTCTCAGTCGCATTTTTAGCATCAAAGAATCTCAGAGTCTTAGAGGTGAGTGGATGGTTAGAGGCCCCCCTTGAGTTCAGCCAGCTCACCCCCAGAATGCTGTCCCTGACTGCCGCTGCCCCTTGCTGCCCAGGACACCTGAGGAGACATCACCCACCAAATACAAGTGGCTCTACACGGTGAGGCCCCAGTGACCGCGGGCCTGGGACTCAAATCCGCATGCACGCTGACTGCTTTCCATAAACCCATGAGAGGCTGCCTGCCGTGTTTGGGGGTAAATCTGTTCAGGCCCCTTTCTTTGTGTTTTCTTCTATTCAGCCATATGTACTCAGAGGAAATGTGTGGATTTATTTATTTATTTATTTATTTTGATTTCAGAGAGGAAGGGAGAGGGAGAGAGAGAGAGAGAAACATAAGTGATGAGAGAGAATCATTGATTGGCTGCCTCCTGCACGCTCCCTACTGGGGATCGAGCCCGCAACCCGGGCATGTGCCCTTGACTGGAACCGAACCTGGGACCCTTCAGTCGCAGGCTGTCGCTCTATCCACTGAGCCAAACCAGCCAGGGCTATTTTTTTGCATTTTTAACAAATGGCACCGTACTGTCCTTTATGCTGTGGCTTAGTTTTCTTACTGAACGATAAATGATATGCATCTCTCTGTGTCTACATGTATAGATCTAGCACATTCTTTTTAGTGCAGTGTAATGTTCCAAAGATGGATGGGTGACAATGTAGTCTCCAAGCCCCTTGGGACTGGGTAACAGTAATGCCAGCTGTCGCTGGTCACCGCACCACCTCCCTCCCCCACCTCCCTGACATCTGCAGGGGCAGGTGCAGGCAGGGGAGGAGGCAGCAGACAGATGGAGCTTCATATAGGCCCCTATACCCCCTCCCCCCAAAAACCCCACAAAAAACTCCCACACGGACTTAACCACAGACTTAAATGTCCTACAAGTCCCAGAGGACATGGATGATTTCCAAGGCTCCAGCAGCAAGAGTCACAAAGGGGAAGATGGGAAGCTAGAATGGCCCAATTTTTTAAGCTAGAATGGCCCAATTTTTTCAAATATCCAAAATGTTACAAACAACTGCAGCCAAAATTTAAATAACAAGCCAGGAGGAATTATTTCGGTAAGAATGAAGAACAAAGGGCCCACATTTTTTTTTCCTGTATGTACAAAGCTCATAAAAATCATCAAGAAAAATACCAAGCCATAGTGATAAAGAGCCTTAGGTTATTATCAGTCATATGGAGCCATGCCCAGACTCACTGCTAAGCAAAGAAGTATAAATTAAAATAAGACTGGAACACCGCATTCCACCTCCCACACTGGCAAAGGTTTTTTTAAACAAAAATTATAGTCAAGAGAGAGAGAATCACGGTGCTCTCATAAATCAGCAGTAAAAATTGGAATCATCTTTTGGAAAGTGGGTTGTCAACATGTATCAAAACTCCCAGAAAGTTCACTCACTTTAACCCAGCAATCTCACTAATGTGGGAATCCTGCCTAAGAAAACAATCCCATATTTTAAAAAGTCCGCACAATGACATTTTCTGCATATTTATAATATTACAGAACTGGAAACAGGCTAAATGTCTAACAAGGGAGGAGGGGTTAATGATGGTCTGTCAATATGATGGAATAACACGTGCTCATTAAATGTGATATTAAGTGCATACGTCAAAGTTCTAAAAATACATTAAGAGACTATAGCTGGAGACAAACAAGTGCATATATATGATTCCACCATATAAGAAACACACAGAGGCCCTGGCTTGTTTGGCTCAGTGGATAGAGCATCGGTCTGCGGACTGAAGGGTCCCAGGTTCGATTCTGGTCAAGGGCACATGCCTGGGTTGTGAGCTCAATCCTCAGTGTGGGGCGTGCAGGAAGCAGCTGATCAATGATTCTCTTTCATCATTGATGTTTCTATCTCTCTCCCCCACTCTCTTCCTCTCTGAAATCAATATATATATATATGAAAGAAACACACAGAGAATCCATTCTAGAAAGAAACAAACCAAAATGTTGGTAGCCATTGCCTTTGGATGGAGAGATTGAGATTTTCTTCTTTTCTACTTTTTCCACATTTTTTAAAAGCCTGTGTTATACTATATAATCCTATATAATAAAAGGCTAATATGCAAATTGTCCCCTCCCCCAGGAGTTTGACTAGGGGGCGGGGCCGGCCCACCAACCGCCTGCGGCCCCTCCCCGCTGGCTGGCCAGGCCAGGCCCGATCTGGCTGGATCAGGGGTGGGCTGGCTGGACCCCACCTGTACACGAATTCGTGCACTGGACCTCTAGTTTTTAAATAAATATCCTTGTTCTTCATATTGTGGAGGTATTCTCAGTGAGCACCCAGCTAAGCTTGCTTTTAGAATGAATACTGACAACGACCTAGTAGCTATTTATTGAGCACTTACTGTGCACCACCGCTGGCTCAGCGTGTCAGACCTTATTTAATTCTCACCCCACGGTTGGTACCATTTTCAACCCCATTTTACAAGTGGGAAAACCGAAACTTGGGAAGGATGTGAGAAATCCAGGGTTAGGACCCCAAGGTTCTTAGGTCAGCCAGGCCGGAGGCGCAGGGATTCCCTTACCCACATAAGATTTTTCTTGAGTTCCAGAGTCATGGTGTCACCGGAGCAGTTGGGCTGGAGCAGGGACATGAGCAGCCCCTCGTTGCAGGTCTCCTTGAGAGGCGTGGTCTGCACAGGTGGGGGTGAGGTCTGCAGCCCACCTGCAGGGCAGCAGAGGCGGGCTCGGTGGGCAGTCACTGAGGGACAGTCACTAAGGGCGTCTGTGGGTAGCTACTCTCACTGTCCCCGTGTTGCAGGAGAGAACAATGGGGCTCTCGCAGGCTGATGCGACCTGCCACTCACACAGCTGAACGGGGGTGCACACCACACGGTGGCACCTGATCCAGGGAGAGGGCAGAGGAAGGCAGGAGGGCCAGGGAAAGGAGCCGGTGCTCACCACAGCTGCTGGCCTGAAGAGAGATGGCACTGGCCAGAGGGACCTCCACGAAGGACGCCACCTTGCTGGCGTTGAGCCTCTGGGCCTCCTCGAGCAGGCCTTGGGGTGTGTCTGGGAGCACAAGGTGCTCTTCTCTGAAGCTCTTCCCTGGAAAGATCTTGATGGAGTAGTTACCAGTGGCCTAACGACAGGGAGAGAGGCGGAGCAGGGGGTCCGAATCAGGGGCACAGCCTGGCCCGGGTGCCGCAGCCCAGCCAGGGTCCTGCCAGGCCTCAGTGCTCTCTCCTTCGCTCCTGCTGCTTCCTCTGCCTGGGCCCCCTCCCCTCATCTACTGGCTACTGTTTGTCCTTCAATTCAGCATGGCGTTCGCTTTTCTAGGAACTTGGCATGAGCCTGTGGGTTGGGTTAAGGGCCTCCCAAGGGGATGATGGAGAGCTCCCTGGAGGAGGCGGCCTCTAGGTCTGAAGGAAGGATAGGTATGAACAGAGGAACAGGGTGGGTCCAGAGGTGTCATCATCAGGTGCAAAGGCTCAGGGCTGGGGAGCTGGTGCAGGGCACCTGGGTCCTCTCCTTTGGGAGCCTTGGACCTGCGCGCGGCTGTCTGGGTCCGGGAGCAAGACTTACCCTGATCTTCATGTTGTGGTTGGCGTCGATGAGCCAGGACACGTAGGGTGGGCCCTGCAGGATGAGCACAGCGTCAGGATCCCCTGAAGTGCAGCTCAGCTTCACCTCCACCGTCACTGTCCGGGGCCTGCGGGGAGGGAAGGCCGGAATGGGAGGTTTCTGACGGGTGAGGGGGGGGCGGGGGGGGGGCAGGCCAAGTGGGTACAAGGCTATTACCTGGTGGGACGTGGGTGTGAGGAAAGGATGTGGAAATGGGCGGGGCTTGGGCTCATAGGGGCGGGGCCCAGAGATAGGTGGGGCAACTCTGCTCTTACCTGGAGGGGGGACTGAGACTTGGACAGGCGGGGCTTAGTAGGGGAGGGGTGCCATGGGGCGGGGCCTGGGGCGGGGCCCGGCACCCTTACCTGGCCTCGGAGCCCGGCAGGACCCTCAAGATGTGCGCCTCCTTGTGACCAGCCACACCCTCCAAGCCGCAGCCGCGGACCAAGCCCTCCGTGTGCGGCCACCATTCGAGCCTGTGGCCCATGTCCATGTTGGGTTGGAGACTGCAGGAGGACGGTGACCTTGGGGCTGCAGAGACAAGCGCACTCAGTCCCCTTCCGGAGCAGCCTGGCACCTCACACAGAGGCCCCCCCTTCCCCACTGTAAAGTTGGGGCCCACAGGATGGAGCATGGGAAGTGGGGGGCACGGGAGGACCAGGGTTCAAATCTCCGCTCCACCGCTCACTGCCCAGAGACTCATGGCAAGTCCCCCGCCTCTGTTTCCTTATTGTCAACACAGGCTCACACAAGGGATGAACATGGCACACAGTAGGGATGAAGCCCTGCGACCAGCAGCACCCCATTGCCCATGTCATGGACTTATCTGTGTATTTATCTCCCCTCCAGGGACTGTGTCTGTTCCCAGAGAGTCCCCAAATGCCTAGCACAGGGCTTGGCACATAGTAGGTGCACAATAAATAACAGGCACAAGTCGCAGTTTCCCATGGTCCACACTCAT